CGCCACTCACACCACTGGTCCTGAAGGGATCATCTGCCCTGGATTCCCTGTGTTTCCAGTTCCTATCTGTACCAGTGTACATCCTCTGGTCTAGCCTGTTTGTAAGGCAGAATTGGGATCATGATAGTGGGTAGGGAGGAAGCATTTAGGAACTAGAGGAAAGTTGTATGTTTCATCATTGCTGCATCGCACCCTGACTAGCTCATCTGCTCCCCAAGACCCTTCTGTAAGGGGATGTCCAGTGGCCTACAAATGGGCTTTGGGTCTCCACTCTGCACTCCCCCCTCATTCACAATGACATGATGTTTTGTTCTGATAAAGTTGGTTTTATTTTTTCCACAATGTTTATTTATTTTCTCTATTTGAACAAAATCATTTAGTGGTACAAATTTTACTCTTGGTAAAGCTTTAACTATTTTCTGTAGCTTTTAACTGGAAGTAATCTTTGTCGCTATTATAAATAGTTTAATCACAGCAACTTTAATTTACTTTTTGATTTTGGAGTTCTGTAGCTGTGTGCTTTTCACTCCCAGATGGTCTTTCTGCTGCTATTGTTCGGGGCTGTCGCGCCAGTTCTGCCTCATAGTGACTGTGTACACAAGGACTATTCACTGCGTGGTCCAGTAGCATCCTCATCATTGTTATATCGGAGCCCTTTGCAGCAAGCACTGTGTCAGTCCATCTCACAGAGAGTGTTCCTCTTTTTTTTTTTTGCCTCCCTTCTACTTTACCAAGCATGTTGGATTTTTGTAGGGACTGGTCTCTCCTGATAATATGTCCAAGCTACATAGACAAAGTCTCACCATCCTTGCTTCTAAGCTGCGTTCTGGCTGTACTTCTCAGAAAGATTTGTTTGCTCTTTTGGCAGGCCATGGTCCCTTCAATATGCTTCACCAGCACCATAATTCAAATGCTTTGATTTGTCTTTGGTTTTCCTTATTCACTGTCCAACTCTCATGTGAGGTGATTGAAATACCATAGCTTGGCTCAGGCATGCCTTAGTCAGACACATCTTTGCTCTTTAACATTTTAAGTAGATCTTGTGTTGTAGATTTGCCCAACACAGTATGTCATTTAATTTCTTAATTGCTGCTTCAGTGAATGTTGGTTTTGGATCCATGTAAAATAATATGCTCAACAACTTCAATATTTTCTCAGTAATTTTGATGTTATCTATTTGTCCAATTATGAGGATTTTTGTTTTCTTTACATTGATTTATAATCCACATGAAAGTCTTTCATCTTTATCAGCAAGTGTTTCAAGTTTTATTACCTTTCAGTAAGCAAGTGTGTTAGTCTGGATTGACTAGAGAAATAAATTCAGAGACACTCATATGTGTGTAAGAGAGAGTTTTTAAAAAAAATCATTTCATTAGGGGCTCATACAACTCTTATCACAATCCATACATACATCAATTGTGTAAAGCACATTTGTACATTAATTGCCCTCATCATTCTCAAAACATTTGCTCTCCATGTAAACCCCTGGCATCAGCTCCTCGTTTTTCCCCCTCCCTACCCACTCC